CCCCCCCCCCCCCCCCCGCGATTGCCCGGGGTACGCCTACAGGTGGCGGTGGCCGTTTTCGCGATCCCGACCGGTATCTTCGGCGCCGGGTTCGAGGACATGATCCAGCACAGAAAACAGGGCAAGCAACAACAGGAAGATGAGCAAGCCGCCGCCTACGCCGGAGGCGCCGTCAACGACGCCGCTGGAGACGGCTCTGGCTCGTCCGCCGGGGGCTACTTCACCCTCGCCCCTGCCGCCCCGGCCGGACCGGACGGCGGCAACTCGGTGGACGTTTCCGACCACGCGTACGGCGGCGGCTCCGCGGTTGGGGGCGATGCGAGTGGGGGAGGGGATGGGTTCGAGTTCTTGGACACCAGCACGCGAGCCGGGAAGAGGTACCGCACGTTTGTGCTGGCGGTGGTCGTGCTGGACATCCTGGCGTTCTTTGCGTCCACCACGTTCTATTTGCAGGTGAGGGGTCGCCGAAAATAACAGGCGCAAGACCCCACTGTTTGTTGGATCATAGAGAGACAACAATGCTGGTGGTGTTTGTTGTTTTGTGGCTGTTCTCTTGCTTCTGTCCCTTTTGTTCATTCATTAGACTGGACGACGACAGCAGTAGTGAGTGAACAGAGAAGGAGCTTTTTGCCAAACGGTTGGATTCGGCTGGTGCCCTCGGTGGTGGCTGTGTCGCGTTGGTTTCGTAACCTGATTTTTGTTTCCTTCTTCGTGGCTGAACCAACAGAGTGCATGGAGCAGCTTCTCCCACAAACCCTCCCTTCTTTTCCCTCCGCTGGTTGATCTTACGACACGATTTGGTCTCGTGCTTGTGTTCTACGTTGCCGTCTTTGCTGTGATGAACCGCCCAGGACGGAAGGCTCTTCGGCGCAGGCGTGGCCTTGGGCGCGCTCGAGATCCTCTCCGTAGCCACGTTCACCATGGACTACGCCGCCCGGGTCATGAACGCCGCTTCCTCCTTGTCCTCCTCCGCCGGTGGTTGCTGCAGCGGCGGCGCCATGCGGTACGTCTTGAGCTTCTACGGGGTGGTCGACCTCATGTCGGTGCTGCCGTTCTTTCTGGGGCTTCCGTTCTGCGGTGGGCTGCGCGACCTCTCCCCGAAGCTGCTCCCGACTCTGGTGCGTAGACGGGTGTTGGCTCATGAACTTGCAGGAATTCCATGCAGTGAAGTTTTGTCTCTCCCGACTCTGGTACGTGCAAGGGGCGCGATGTGTTGGCCTTTGAGCTTGCAGGAGTCAGTGAGGTCTTTACGTATTCTCTCCCGACTCAAAGGGGGCGCGAGCTGCGTTGCGTAGGAACTGGAAGGAAAAGAAGGTGTGTTTTTTCTTCGTTTCTTGCCGTTACAGGTGTTACTCTTTCTCTGAGAAGGAGGGACGCGGTCTCTTGGGCTGTGTCGCTCCCTTACGGGTGTTACCTATGCTGCGGAAGGCCTGTCGTTGGCGAGCCGGGTTACACCCAAGTTTGTCGTCACCCCCACGGTTTGGTTGTTCTTTTCTTCTGAGTATGAACGAGCCAATGCTTTTCAAAACAACAGGCGCGACTGACAGTCGCAGCAAACAACGACAGCCCGAGCATGCCGAGACAAGGCATCTGAAACAACAGTAGTATCAGCAGCCGCAGCAACAATGATACCCCGGGTATCGAAAATCAATGCCTTCCAGCACAACGACAACAGCAGCAACGATGACCGGAATACGCCCGAGCCAATGCTTTCGAATACCGCAGCCGTCGCAACAACAACCTATACCGAACGCAATAACGACAAGAATCGGTACGTACCTGCTGTCGCTCTTGCCCCCCCCCCTCCCTCTTGCCCCCCCCCCCCCCCCCCCCCCCCCCCCCCCCCCTTTTTTTTTTTCCTTTTTTTTTCTTTTTTCCCTTT